GGGCCATGCCCATATAAGTGGCCTAAACTGTTACCAGGACCATGATGCCATCCAGGTCTTAGCTGCTGCTGAGGGCCATGTCTTGGTCCATGGTCCTATGCAATTGGGGTCTATGTGGATGTCCATGGTCTATGTTACACAGGGGCCCCACTGGAACCATGCCTGTTGAAATCCAAGGGTTGTGCTGAGCTGGCCCCACCCTTTACTGGCTTTTCCCCTCGCTGGACACTAGGGCAGGAAAGCTGTTCTTGCCCCTCATGGGAGAACTGGTCCCTGCACTAGGGAGAGATCTCACCACAGGCATGGGAGATCTGGCTCTGGTGGCATGGGAGAATTGGCTCTGTCCCTCACCTGAGGTAGGGTGGTCCCAGGGGCCTGGACTAACCAGCTCAGCTACTACACACGCCCACATCCTAGCCCTGGGGGTTGGCCCACCCTAACATCTACTCCATCTATGACCTTCTGGAGCACGTGATGGCCACAGGATTTCCATGACTCAGGGCAACAGCAGCACATCCAAGAGGATTTTCGGTGAGAGTTCATTGATGAGGTTATGCCAGAGGCCAGAGCCTTGACCAGACCAACGGCTCATTGCAATGTCCCCTCTAAGAGTTGCCATGGTCATGGTGTCTCTTCAAGCAATAGAAACCCTAAGTCAAAAGTTGGTACCAGGTATTGCTTTGTTAGGCCTGAAACTTTTGTTTGGAAGAATGTGGACTTTGGATTAGGAAAGCAGTTGAATGCTTTAAGCAGGTTTAATGGACCATACCAGTAGAAGCATGGGAGACAGTGGTGCTGAGGGTGATTTGGTTTCAGAGACCTAGAGATGATTCTTGTGATATTCTGGCAAAGACTGTGGCTGCTTTCTGCCTTTATTAAAGAAATTCACCTGAGGCTAAAGTGGAGAGTTTTAGATTAACAACTTCAGCAGAGATCTCTAGACAGCCACGTATTGGATAAGTTGCTTGGTTATTAGTGGTTATGCTTATACAGATCTGTAATGAAAAAGAGCAAAGCCAGGAGGCTGCACTCCTCCACGGCCTTTGCATCAGCTCCTACTTCTAGGTTCTTGTTCCTGTCCTGGCTTCCTTCAGTGATGGACTACAGTGTGGAAGTGTAAGCCCTTTCTTTCCCAGTGGTCACGGTGTTTCATCGTAGAAACCCTAACTAAGACACTTGTGTACCCATCTTCTAATGTAGGTAGGACTGACCTTATCAAATAGGACTTCCTCCTGTTGAGAACTGAAAGGAAAAAAAGAGAAGCCATTTATCTGAAAATGTTCCCTCCATTGGTGATAATAAAAATCTTTATTTTCAGATCTTTATATGCTGTCTGAAAATATTAATGACTTCAATAGAGGTCAAGCCTACCTATCAGATGGAACATTTCTCTCCATGCTTTGACAAGGTGTCCCCAGTCCAACGAGTTCCCCCACCCCATTTCAGGGAAAGAATGAAGTTCATAGAAACCTTAGCTCTTTCCTGATGTGTTTCCCTTACTAGTTTAGCAGCAGCAGATGGTCAAGCATGAGAAGAGAAAATAGGAACTGGGCATGTTTACCCTTCCCCTCCTATCATTGCTTATAGCAGTCTAACTCAGCAGAATTACAGTCCAGTTCTCCAGCAGATGAGGTAGGAGGTGAGGAATATCCAAACTCCCAAATCTATGTTACTAGTAACCTAGTGGTCCTTTTCATACCTTTATAACTGGATTCATCAGGATGAATCATTTGGAATTGTAACTGCACATAAATATCTAGAACCCCACCAATGGGTAGCTTTCAGATTTCAGTCTCTTCCAACTGATGTTTAACTGGGCTTGTTTATGTGAAGGGCACATAATGTACAAATGCCATGAAGAAATAGCCTTCTTCAGAGAGATAGCATAAGGTGGCTAATGGCATGCTTGCTTACTTTGCTATTTTTTTTTTTAAGAAAATCATCTTTGTATTCTCAGTTTCTCAACTATGAAATAAGTGGTAAGTCTGTGAGCCAGTTGCTGGTTTGTCTTTAGGTCCATCTCTGCATTTTTCTGTTCTCTTGGGAGAGTTTATTTCTCGGGTTCTCTTGTCACCTGACCTTTATGTGGGGTTAGCCAATAGGAAGTCTTGACAGAAGGTAGGAGAGCAACAGAAAGGAAAGGCCATATCTGCGCCCATACCACCCTGAGCATGCTTGATCTCATAAGCCAAGTAGGAACGGGCCCAGTTAAGACTGGGATAGGAGATGTACTGACTGGAGTCTCCACCAGTACCTCAAATAGCCCTCCTCCATAGTCTTAATTCCTGTGTGACATCTTCATGACAGTTGTGACTGATTTTGGTTGGTTCCGGCTTTTGGACACTAGGCCTTATCTTTGCTCATTGGCCCTCTAGCCTTAGGTTGATGTCATCTTCTCGGTGTGCTAGTCTTGGAGCTGCCTCACAGCTGCAGCTCTCTCGGCATTCTGGTCACACACACAACTGTGCCCCTGTGTTCAATGCTGTATATTGGAAAGACGTAAAGAGGTTTCTTTTTTCCTGGAGGTCCCCTGAATAATTATTAAAGATAACGAATCTAAAAGGAGGACGGAGCTAAGGTGTATGCCTAATATTGTTCCAGACCACAGCAAGAGTCAACACTGACCTTCCTCATCAATGGTTCAGAGCGTATTGTGCATAGACATTTTTCTTTTGATCTTAGTGGTTAAAATATGACATCACTTAGAGAAATGTGAAATGGTCACATCTGCTAGGAAAGACTACCGAGTATATCTAGCTCATATGCAGTCTCCAGTTTCCATAGAAACCAGGCAGAGAAAATTTGTTAAAGAAAGCCTAGAAAATAGGTAGATTCAGGTCTCTATGATTATTTCTCAAACCCTTTAGCACACAAGCAGGCTGCTATTACTGTTATCTTATTGTCTACCTAGTATCTTTTTTTTTTTCTTGTAAGATCCACAGACCCAGGTTCTTTTTTCTGTGGGGAAGCTGACACAAAGTGCAGGATTTCTCTGCTACAGCATCGTCCCTATCACAGCCTCAGTAGCAGTGATTTCCGGGCTCCTGTCATTGTGCTTTCCTGCCATGGAGCTGGATAAGCCCACCTCATTATCCCGTGGCTGCTCAAATGTTGTTTACTGTTTTCTGTTAAGACACAAGAGCAAATAACTCAAATATTATGTTAAGCAAAACTCTTGACTGCAGGGGGACCAATTGAAATCCCAATTACCATCCTGGCAGTGAGAGCTCAGCTGGAATGAAAAATATTAAATTTCCCTGTGTTGGAGTGGGGAAGCAGGAAAGATTCTTGGGTCATTTGATTACAAGCCAAATCCTCAAAATCCCTCTTTAGCCATCAGAGCTGGTGGCAGCAACAAGGGAGACAGCTCTGAGTCAGATCTGGCAGAATTTGAATCAATAACCAGGCAATCTTGCTTCAATTTCCAAGCAATTTTAAATCTTTCTCTTTCAAATGTCTCGAGGAGGATGGGATTGAGGGCTGGGAGGGAAATGCAAGCATTTAGAATACCAAGGTGAACTTCATTTTTCTGTCAAAAGATTCTTACGTGTCCCCAGAGGTTTTCTCAGGACATCAGCAAGGCTGTATTGTCTTGGGCACCAGCAGAAGGACCCTCTGTCTTCCTCCAGCGTTTTCTATGGCTGAGTGCGTGCTTAGCTTAGCTGGTTAGAGCACAGAGAAAATAAAACGCAGGAAATAAGGACATAAGGGCTTGTGCCTGGATTTCAACATGGCGGGCAGAATGACAGATTAGATAGAGCTGTGGGCTTGCTGTCAGAGGCACGGGGACAATCTCTGCTGCCACTTTCAAGCTGTGTGACCCTGAATAAATCATTTCATTCATTTGTTTGTTTTCCATGAGTGACTTGAGAGAGAGTGCATGGCTCAGCACAAATACTGGCAGAAATCAGAAAGGCTTGCTTGACGAGCACATGATGCCCACACAAACATCAGAACACTGGCAAGACGGTGCTGAGAACAGTAGTAACAATGAGAGTGTGGAAACAACCCGTGAAAGCCTTTCCTTATGGGCTGCCTACGGAAGAGGGTGAGAGGGAGCTGGCTTCTTTCTTTCTTTCTTTCTTTCTTTCTTTCTTTCTTTCTTTTTTCAATGGTGTTGAAGCGAATGCTAAGTCAGAACCACGAAATCTGTACCTCCTGGGTGGCCTCTCTGCAGCCTCCCCGAGGCTGAGTTGCTATTGGCCATCTTTAATTGTGTTAGGGTGACATTTTTGTCCATGCTTTCTGGAGTTACAGATAAAAATGCTGGATGTAGCTGAAGTCTTTGAAGGCGTTCAGAAGTTTCTCTGTGTTCCTCTTTCCTTACAGTAACCCAAAAGCCAAAAGCTCTCTCGCCGGACTTTTGTTTTTAAAGAAAGACACGTCTGCTTTATGACTGAGTTAAAAATATAGAACCTCACATGGAATCCAGGAGTGAAGACTCCACCAGGCTGATCTTGGTTGCTATGACAGCCAGACGGCCATTTAACCCGCTCCAAGAAGAGTCATCCCAAAGGGGGCGAGGTGAATCTCAAATGTGCTATCATTTATGTTCCTTCACGGGGAAGATCTCTGCGATTACCAGTGAGCTCATCCTCCCAACAGGCCTAGCAGGCAGATCAATACTATCAGCCCCTTTAGTGTGCAGTGTTATTCCCCACTTTCAGGCTCGTTATCTACCAGCCAGTTATTCCGTCTTTAAAGACCTGTCAGTGCCTTGTTGTCGCAATGCCCGCTTTGTGGTTGTGACTTTGTGTTATCCAGAAAACACTAAAACTGTTCAGACAAAATCAAGTGAGGTCAGAACTCAGGTAGGTGACATAAGAAATACTGGGATGCTGAATAACATCAGAATTTAAGGAGTCAATGCAAGGTGCCTCAGGTAGCAAGCCAGGGAACTAACTAGACCACCTGCCTGTTTGCCCAATGACTGTGAAGCATCCCTTCTTTCTGAGATCCTGCCCTAACTTTAGTTTCTTGCTCTCTTTTCTCTTTTACAGAATTGTTGGGTGAAATGAGACTTATTTTTTAGAAGAAAATGCAGTAGAAGTGAAAATGGTGTACATCAAAGCAACAGAAGAAAAGGAGCGCCATTTAGGTCATAGTGCAAACAGAGGGACTTCATAATCTGTTTGGATGAATGCTTTAAAAGACACTCAAGTTGAGCTGAGCATGGTGGGGCAGACCTGTGAGTACATCAGTCCCAAGGTAGAGGTATCTCTCTATGAGTCCATCCTGGAAGTGAATATCCAGGGTCTCTATTAGAGTCTGTGGGCTTCATCCAGTGTTAAAGCCCTTCTTTCTGGATAATTGTGGCTGGGGAGTTAAAGGTGCCAAGGTCAAAGGACATAGTAGGACCTTTGTCTAGGCAACGATGGGGACCACAATGGGGTCGGAGGAAAGAACTGAATTCTGCCGATAATTCAAAATATCAAGTGCTAACATGGTATCAGAGAGATCAGACCAGCTGTGTTTCTGGAAAAACTCTTACGTTCCCAGTGAGTAGCTTGGATACAAGTAGATAGTCCGAGCCTGGTGTGGAGCTGGCTGGTGCTGGGAATCAGGACACTGGCAATAAGCTCTCTTTTCCCTGCAGAGTAGTTGTTTTATGAGATAGGATCTCATGATGTTGCTCAGGTTAGCCTCAGTCTTCTGAACTAAGTGGGCCTCCTGCACTACCCCCACCCCTAAGTTCTGCTACTACTACTACTGGACTATTTGTGTGCCTGGCCAGAGAAATATTTTTTTTAGATGCTCAAACCACAATATATAAGATTGCAATCATATTAAAAATGGTTGTAAAATTTTTTTAAACCTGCAACTCTATGATATAATAGTGTAAGTTTATGTTATTTATTTATCTTTCCATGTTGTGGACTGAATTTAGAATGCTAAGCACATACCCTATCACTGAGTTGATCTCTTGATCTTAGTATCTATCTATCTATCTATCTATCATCTATCCATCCATTCATCTATCCATCCATCCATCCATCCATCTATCTATATATCTATTTTTTAACATTTTAGAGTGATTAGATAAAACATAGGTGTAGGAATAGTACCATAGCTTAACTGCATCCCTGACCTACTTGAGTGCTGGGTTCAAGTCCCAGCCCTATATATACTTGGGATGGTGGTACACAGCTATAATCCTAGCACTTGAGGAAAGTAGACGGGTCAGGTTAGTCACCCTCGGCTACCCAGAAAATTTAATTTTTATTTCTTTATTTCTTTATTTATTTATTTTTGGTTTTTCGAGACAGGGTTTCTCTGTGGTTTTGGAGCCTGTCCTGGAACTAGCTCTTGTAAACCAGGCTGGTCTCGAACTCACAGAGATCCGCCTGTCTCTGCCTCCCAAGTGCTGGGATTAAAGGCGTGAGCCACCACCGCCTGGCTTAAATATTTATTTATTTATTTATTATGTATACAATATTCTGTCTGTGTGTATGTCTGCAGGCCAGAAGAGGGCACCAGACCTCATTACAGATGGTTGTGAGCCACCATGTGGTTGCTGGGAATTGAACTCAGGACCTTTGGAAGAGCAGGCAGTGCTCTTAACCACTGAGCCATCTCTCCAGCCCCCTACCCAGAAAATTTAAGCTCAGCACAGGCTTTGTAATACCCTTTATGAAAAACGACAAAAATGAATGCGCTAACAATTGTTCTAATTTTGAAAAATCATTTAAAGTAACATCTTAAGACGTGGCACCTGAGGATGTCTGAGAATTCTGTTGGTAAAAAAGTCACAGGTCCGGCCGGGCGGTGGTGGCGCACGTCTTTAATCCCAGCACTCGGGAGGCAGAGGCAGGCGGATCTCTGTGAGTTCGAGACCAGCCTGGTCTACAAGAGCAAGTTCCAGGACAGGCTCCAAAACCACAGAGAAACCCTGTCTCGAAAAACCAAAAAAAAAAAAAAAAAAATCACAGGTCCTGTGGCTGGTTGTCTTCATTCCTAATCAAAGAAAATACTAATCTTCAGCTACAACAGAGGTTGTCAGAATTTTTCTGTAAAAGTCCTGATCATAAACAGTTTGGGCTTCATGAGTCATATGTTCTCTGTCAGCAAATATTCAACTCTTTCGATGCATGTGAAAGCAGTCACAGATAATATGTAAATGAATGGGCATAACTATATTTTAATAAAGGTTTATTATGGACAGTCAAATTCCATATAATTTTCGTATGTCCTGAAATACTATTTTTTTAATTGTATTTTTCATTCATTTAAAAATATAAAAAAATATTCATGGCTCACAGGCTAGAAAAAAGTAGGTGCTGAGGAGCCAGTTTTGGTTTGTGGGCCATAGTGTGCTGACCAGTGAGTCAGAGTGAGTCAGCACAAAGCAATCTTTAGACACCATCTAGATTTGAGAGATGCTGTCCCAGAGGAAATGGAACTTGGTAGAACCCCGAGAATGAAGCTTAGTCTAGCACAAGTCCAGATTCAGGGCTGACTTAACGTAGAGAATTAAGGCTGAAGGAAGGCCCAGGGCCTCCAGGAGAGCTGGTAACATAGACTCAATACCCACTACATGATGAGCAAAGGTCCCCAGGGACACTCACTGCTACAGCCGTGACCATCACTCCTCTTAGTAACTGGTTTTTCTTTGGTGATGAGCATATAGCTTGGCACATAGAAGGTATTCAAATACTGTCCATTAGCTAAATGACTGTAGGCTATCCAAGGCTTTGTAGTGGGATCTACAGGAACTAAGGACAAAGGCTGGAAGAGTTGTTGCTACCTGGCAGTACTTCTCTCCTGAGTGGGGTGATGCCCGCAAATCAGAGTCCATGACTCTAAGTTCCAGTCAACGTGCCGGAAGCCAGTCATAAAGGCATCAGTGTGTTTTCACCATGCTCCTTCCTTTGTCCAGACACAAAATGGTATAAATCCTAGTCTCCTGCTTTCAATAAGATCATATGACAGAATTCTGCCCAAATATAGTATTGAAGAAAGTAATATACAACATTGCCAGTCTTGGTTCTTAGCAAGTCTCAAAATTTTTTTATTTATTTTCACTTTTCTCCATGTTCCTCATAGAATGGGGTCCAACATATTTGATATTAGAGCCACATGATGGTAGGGGTAGGAACCCCAGAATGGCCATCTTGATTGAAGTTGAGAAGTCTTGCCAGACCTGAGAAAGGTTTTAAGTTGCTGAAGTTCCTTTTAACACCTACCTGAGAATGCACAGCATTCTCAAGGTCAGAGGAAATTTACCTTTCTTAAACTCTCTTTGAGTTCTCTAGACTAGGCCTGGAGGCACAAATTCAAGTACAAGTGGTGACTTAGGAGGTGTAGGAAGTACCAGCAGGAGGGTAGAGAGGACATGGGAATGGGAGGTGCTAGAAAGGGTGTTTACAGAGCCGGCTACTTCCCACTGAAGCTTAATCTGGAGTAGAAAGTGTACTTTAGAGTTCTCCCATCTAAGGGGCTGAGGCCAGTGTAGAGTATATCATCCTGCCAGTCAGTCATTGATGCAGGGCCACTGGGAATTAGGGCTTTAATATCCCAGCCCAAGAGGTTAAGGGTACTTGGGCTAAGCAGATGGGGAAGAGGCCCACAAGGGCCGTTGGAACTGGACTGGAAGACACAACTTAATTGTGATGCCCCAAGAACATGGGCGGGGATCAGCAATATCTTTATAAATTATTAAAAAAACCCATAACTGTGTTTCTGTGGCAGCTCGGTTCACCATGGCTGGCTCTGACTTACTCGGTTGACCCCTCCACTGACAGAAACAGTTTTTTTTCCTGATAGAAAGACAGTTATGATAACGACCACAAAGAGCATCAGAACACAGCCTTGCTGCACTTGCAGTGTTTTCTCTCTTTGGGCTTCTCAAGTGTTCTTTGTCTCAGTTTGCCTGCCGGTAAAATTCAAGGGGCTGCATGACCATGATCTAGCTCTTCTGTCCTCTCCCAACTCTAAGATTGTAACTCCAGCATCTTCCAGCTTGAACCCTGGCCTGTGTGACTGTTAGTGAGAGCCTCCACAGTTACTGGGGTCAGGAGGAAGCGTCAGACCAGAGCAGAGAAGGGAGCTCCTGCGTGAGAAAATTTCTGGGGACTAGAGGTAGGACATTTTGAACAAGAAACAGGAAGTTAGCGGGAACATCAGTTGAATGTTTTTGAGGACACTCGACTGGGGTCTAAACCTTGATAATTTTACTAAATATTTCATGGACCAAAAGATAGAAATTTGAGGGAGAATGCAGATTATAATATAATTTTAATTTCTGTATTTAGTGTGCTGGGTTAAGGGAACTCTTGGCTAGTTCTAAGGTAGCCTCAGGATAAGATGGGAAGCCCTGAACTGGGAATCTGATAGTATTCTCAATTGATAGTGCAGTTGGCTTCATGCTATCTTGGTTTTTAGCCCCTTGGAGTCCTAGTAACAAGACAAAGGACAAAGGATGGAGACTAGATGCTCTTTAAGTTCCAGCTAAGCTTGAATATTCTATATGTTTAAAAATCAAACCTCCAAGCTATGCAGCAGAAGGAAAGAGGGTGGAGTCTTAATGATATCACTTCACTTCCTTTCTGTTTAAATCCCAGGTCCTTAGTTACGTGACAAGGGTCATCTATTTAGTACATCAGTCAGCTGGGATCAGACTTTGTTTAGCTCAGAGCCTTTTTTCCTGAGTAATTTCCTCCATCCCAGAGGAGACAATGAACACGAGCAGCCTTGTGAGATCTAATGCTCCTGACCACACAGATGGTTAAACTAATTAACAACCCTTGGATGCGTTCTTCCTTAGATACTGGTTTAAAATTGAGGAACTTAAATGGTGCCTGCCTTGTCCCTTGGAGTGGATGTCCTATGTAAGGATGAGCCTCCAATCCTGTCTTCAGTAAGGGATGCATAGATGTTGTTTGACTAACTGGGAAGTTGAGTGTAGAGTTAAGTATACCCCGCTTAGGCAGAGCTATGACTCAAGACTCCCCACCCCCTTTCTTCACATGTTTCCATGCCCTCACTTCTCAGAGTTGCTCTTTAACTTGCTAGGATTTCTTCTCACCACCTCATGATGTTTCCCTGTTTACTGGCATTTTTCTCAGAGCTCTCTATTCTGTTCCATTGATCACTCACTCTGCTTCTATGTAGTTTTAAATTAAAGATTTATTTTATTTTTAACTTTAATTATAAATATGGGTATATACATATGAGTGTAGGCTCCTACAG